AACATTATTATGGCATGCTATGTGGGCAAGCGCTGCTTGAGCAAACCTAGGGAGAAACATAAATCACACTTCTTAGACTTATAGCTCTGGTGTAAAAGGGGAGTCACCTTGAAATCAGTGATATTTACAATAAAAAATTACTGAATCAGATTGTTGGTAGTTGGATAAGCTTTTACTGAACAGTTCTTTTCTTTCCTTTAAGCTTTTTATAATATGGCTTTTAAGTTTCCCATTAAAACTCTGATAGGAGAGAAAGAAATGAACTCCAGGCTTTATAATACAAATTATATAATATTTAAGTAATACTTATTCTGCCAGGAGATATATTAAGCCTCTTACATATATTTTCTTATTTAATTCTAAAGACAACCCTATGAGACAGGCCTAGCAGGTTCAGGGAATGAATGTGAAGTCAAACTATCTGGATTCAAAGCTTGACTCTATACCACTTCCTAGTTAAATATGACCCTGGGCATATTTTTATGTCTTGTTTTCTTCACTTGTCTAAAAAAGTTGGCAGAGGAGGGGGTTGGGTAGTAAGTCAGCCTTACAATGTTATAATTAGTAAATGAAGTAATACATACTGTCCCAAGCTCAATGATGCTATCCACTGGTGTCATCAGTTTCATCCTGATATGAGATGCCTTCTTGTAACCCTTTCTGTCTTTTTTACCTTCTACCTACTCATGAAAAGTGGAGATTTCTTCCAAAGATGAGTTCTATCAATCACCCGAGAGGAAATGGAAAAGCTGCTACAAGGAGAAACACTTAAGTGTAATAAATATATATATAATTTCTATGTATATTTTTACTTGAAGTTTAAATTCCAAATTTAGAGGTTCTGTTTTGCTCTACAGTAACTGCTATTTGTTCAGATAACAAAGTTCCTGCATGCCCTATTTGAGCATTTTTGAGAAAGTGGTAACAGAGAAGCGTTCCAACATATTCTCTGACACCACTAAAGGAAAGCCTTGGATTTATAAAAAATGCTTTCTGTGAATTATTTTAGTTATGCTGAGCACACATTGCTTTTGTAACTGGAAAGGAGAAAAATGGGAAAAAAGAAAATGGATATCTTTTGGAAATGGTGAATACGGTATATGGACTTCGGGAATTTTTTTAATGAAAGGAGGACTCATCTAGTTTTATTTGTGCTTGTACCTAACTTTTTCTTCATTCAGATTCATCCTAACTAAAATGTTGTGAAACAAGAAAATAAGCTTAAAATGCCAGGATAGATGTTTTTCAGTATAAAGATGATGCTTTAGTTGGAAATTTAAAAGACCTATTAAAAACTTATCCACTGGGGTTGGTAATGTAAAGTATAGCTCAAAGCCCTTTCACTAAAGGTGTTCCATATTTCTAATTCTGGTTCTCTGCCTCCATCAAAAATCACTCTTAGCAACTTAAGGTTAGCCACTCTAGACACCTGATGAACTGGTCCTTTATTCACTCACTTAACAAATATTTCTTGAACACGAACTATATGCCAGGTACCATTCCAGGTGCTGAGGATACATCAACAAACAAAATGGCCAAATATTCTTGTATTCATAGAGCTTACATTTTAGTAGAGGAAGGTATTTAAAATAAGTAATCAGAAAGTTTTACTGCGGTAAAGAATTTACCTGCAATTCAGGAGACTCTGGTTTAATCCCTGGGTTGGGAAGAGTCCCTGGAGAAGGAAATGGCAACCCGTTCTAGTATTCTCGCCTGGGAAATCCCATGGACAGAGGAGCCTAGTGGGCTACAGTCCATGGGGTCGCAAAAGTCAGGCACGACTTAGCAACAAAACAATCTAGCTTTTACTGAGCAAAACAGGAAAATGTTGGTGGATACTGAACAAAGGAATCTATTAAAGATCACTTTTGAGTACTACATTAGAGATCACTTTGGCTGCTGTTGTTAAGAACAGATTGTAGACAGGGAGACCCAGTTGAGAGGTTATTTTAATACTTCATGTTAGACGATGGCTTAAGACCAAGGTGACAGCGGGGAAATTATGTGCTGAAAACGGTGAGATTCTGGGTATTATTTCGAAGGTACAGTAAACATACTAAAGTATAATAGACAGTGTTGAAGAGTTAATGAAGACTCTGAGGATCTTGGACTGAACTACTATTAAGGAAGGCATTCCTATAAACTGACATGATTGAAAACAGTGGGACTGAGGACTGTGGATACAGGAATTGAGATGTTCACAGGTTCACATTGGACATCTTAAAGATGCCTCTAAGACATCCACATGGAGAGGTCAAGTGAATAGAGATACACACACACAAACACATGAAAAAAGACCTGGTCTGAAAAACTACTTTTTACAGCCAAAGGATGGTACTTGAAGACATGAAACTGGATGAAGAGTTCAGATAGTGAAAAAGCCCAAAGTGATTTTTTTTTTCTTTTGGCACACTCCAAAATTAAAAGCTCATGGAAACGAAAGTACATCACCAACAGACTGAGTAGAAAAGCCAAAGATGTAAAATAAAAACAAGCACAGCATGTTGTTCTAGACAGTGAAGGAGTATTTCAAGGAGTTGGGTAAACTCTCTTAGGTCAAAGTGAGCAATGATAATCAACTTTTAAATTTAGAAACATGGAGGTCACTGATGCCCAAAACAGAAGCATTTTTAGTTAAGTGATAAAGGTAAAACCTGATCAGGGTAGGTTAATAGAATTGAAAAAAAAACAAAATTCAGTATAATTCTTGCCTTGCTTCTTGTTTCAAATACCCTGTTCAGTCTCAAAGTCGTGTCTGACTCTGACCCCATGGACTGCAGCACACCAGGATTCCCTGTCCTTCACCATCTCCCAGAGCTTGCTCAAACTCGTATCAAGTCAGTGATGCCATCCATCTTGTCCTCTGTCATCCCCTTCTCCTGCCTTCAATCTTTCCCAGCATCAGGGTCGTTCCCAATGAGTCAGCTCTTCACATCAGATGGCCAAAGTATTGGAGCTTCAGCATCAGTCCTCCCAATGAGTATTCCAGGTTGATTCAAGTACCTCCTGGGAAGGATCTGTCAATTCTGAAAATGGCAATTTTTCAAATATACTAAAATGCTACCCAAGGCAACATCTGTCCTGAAATGCAGTTTTGCCTGGTGACCTCATTAAGATGAGGAAATGACAAAGTAATCTGCTGTATATTTAAATAAGCAGTACAGTAAAAGTAGAATTCTAAACAAATTCATTCAAAGGGGGGAAAAATGGCATGTTATTCTTCCTAGCAGCATTTGTATCTGATGCAGTCCTAAGTGACAGTCAACTTCCACTGCCACTTCAGTTTTAACAACAGTAATTGGATGTAGTTTCTTCAAGACATATCTCATGCCAAATTTTACATTTTTATGTGGGCAAGTCCAGAAATATTGATCACAAAAAGATATTATAGAGTCTTCAAAACACTTACAATTTTCTAGTACTAGAAAATGTTATGACTTTCTTAAGGCATTTATTTGTAACTAAATAAAAGCTCTGTCTTTCATTTAGGTATTTATAACTAAATCCCTGTATTTCTTTGCATAATTTTAAACTTTGAGGTGGTAGGTACCAAAGCATCCAGAGTGGTTCCCGACACGGGTGGGAATGGGGCAATTTTGTCCACCAGGTAACATTTGGCAACGTCTGCAAGCATTTTTAATTTTATAACGTGGAGAGACGTCACTGGCATATAAGGCAGAGGACAAGGATACTACTAACCACTCTAAAATAAAAATGCACAGGACAGGTTACTACAACAAACAATCTGACATCTGACTCAGAAAGTCAACAATGGCAAGGCTGAGAAACTCTGAGGATAAACATTACCCAAAAGACAAGGGGCTTAAAGTGGTCAATTCTACATTCATGACTACCTGGGTTCAAATACTAATAGATGTATTCAAACACATTTGTGTGTTCTGCCTTCATGGATACAGAGGGTTGACCACACTATGCCATTTTATATAAGGAACTTGAGCATCTGTGAATTTTGCTATCTGCACGGAGCAGGAAGAGTGTTCCCAAAACAAATCTCCCAGACACCAAGGGATAATCGATTCACATTTGACTAATGGAATGAACTTGAATAATTTAATCTTGGTTTAATTGGTGTTGGTTTCCTTTTTTAAAAAAAATTTAAGTATTTGAGATACTTCACATAAACATTTAATTCAGTTCCTGACAAGTAAAATGTGCCACAAAGTATTTATAATGTAGACCTATATATTAAAATCTAAAATTGTCTCACTAAATTCCTAAAGCTCCTACAATGTCATGATCTACACTCACCACATGGAAAGCTGATATATAACATGGCTAATTCTTGATTAGCCACCACTGAAATGTTCTGCTCATTGGATCAAAATTGCTACTAACATACTTCCTAGCCTTTCAAAACCTGCCAAAAACTCAGAAGTTCTCAAGAGCATTTCTTGGCCACTCCCTTGGTGAGCAGTGATGGAGTCAGATCCAACTACAATCCCCAGCCAGACCACGGCAACTGACAACCTAGAAAATTTTCAGCAGAGAGAATGACACAGTAAAAACCAGTATCAACAACAGTACAACTTCAATATCAGCCAGTAACAGAAATTCAGAGATTTTCATCTCGCCAATCCCAAAGAGGCTTGAATAATCTTTCAAATCTACCTTTCATTTACAATTCCAGTTCTTAAATATGCCCCAGTGTTAACAACGGCCTTTACACAAAATGAAAGTGTCTTATTAGAGCTGCTTAAAGTCTTATTTTCAAGTTACACGAATACACAGAAATTTAAGAAATTCCTTAAATTCCAATAAGTTCCCATATCCTAAGTTATGAAGTTCAGAGTAGAGTTTCAAAATTAAATAATGACACATATCAAGTTTCAGACTATTTATTCATCAGTGTAAACCCCAATACAATACACCAACATGATTCCGTGCATTTAGAGGGGAAATATTTCCTGGTTAAGTGGAAAATTGTGCGGATGGCTTCTGGAAGACCTTCATTCTAAGCAGCTTTAAGTGAAATATTGCATTTAGAAGTCTGGACCTTCTTTCTTCAGTTTGCTGTAATCTACGTTCACAGAGTAGAACTTGGAAAAGAAAAAAGATATTTTAATCATATACACAAAGATGCTATAGAAGTTTAAGATCATTTTTATTCAGCTTTCTATAGTAACAACTATAGATGTGAACTTTTATTAGAAATATTTAACAATATAAAAATCATTCAAACAAAGACATTAAAATTCCAGTCCTTAATAATGGTTTTGGTAAGGTAAAAATATTCAATCTTCCTCAGAAAAGCAGAGTCAGTATGATCTGTTGGAACTTCAAGGTGAATAATTATGAATTCTTCTGACATGAATTTCCAGTTTTTACGTTTTTCCTTTCATCTCCATTAGGTACAGGAGTGAATCTTCAACAGAATGAATATCAATTATCATCCCTATTTGGTCAGCAAGGTGCCATAATTTAGATGGGAAAGATTTAAAGCAATAAAGATCAGCTAATAATATAAAGTAATGCTTTGTTGCATGTTTCTTTCTGTTGTTAGATACAAACTGGCCTGCTTTGATGACTTTTCTTTCCATTTTTCTCTCTCCTTCACTTAGGGGTTTCCTTAATTTCCTAACCCAGAATGCATCAAAATCAAATTTACACTTTACCATCTTTGGTACAAAAGCTTTTAAAAATATTTAAGTGTATTTTGGAAAATTTTTAATTTCCATAAATACCTCTATATTCAACTTAATTTGAAATATATTTTACTATCATTTCTTTAAAAACTGCCTCTCCCAATGATTTTTTTAAAAAATGATTTATACTTGAAACTGCTCTAGCAATCCTACTAAAGAAACATTAGGATTCGTAATAAGCCCAGATAAGGCTATATCTTATGCCAGAGAATACTGAAGAGGCTATGCTCTAATTACTTGAAAACTGTATTATTTAACTCCAAAAGTATCCAAACTGCAGAATTTATCATCATTTTCTTCAGTTTTTAAGCAAGAAGCTCATACATCTGTGTCCATTATTTCTTCAAACATACCTAACTTCTTAATCTCTAATTGAAAAATTCTTAATTTTATTTGACTTTAAAAAAATTCCCAGGTTGTGAAGCTTATCCTTGAGATACATATGTAGACATTTATAAACTTTATAAACATTAAAGTATGACTCAGTCATAAAGCCGTATTTTTTGTTCTGATAGAATTCTCCTATGAAGTAATTGAAAAAAACAATGAGACTTGAAAGAAACCAACTGTTCATCTGTAACATACTAACAAAATGTTAGAATATTTGTAAAAGGAACTGCAGGTTATGTTTTAAGAAATAAGCATTTATTGGGCTGTTTTAAAAGATCCTGGGCACTATCGGCAGAATCTTTGTTCTACTTCAATTATCACAACCTTACTCATTCTTTATAAAAGAGGCCACTGGGATCAAGTTATATGACTTGTCAGAAGCAGGATGAAGCTCCTACACCCAAGCAGAGTGGAAAGTTCACAGTATTTTTGCTAATTTCCTCAAAACTAAGCAGACTTCTGATATGTTTGCTTTATTCGGCTCCATGTACCAGTATTAGAGTTCTCTGTTGAAGTAATTTTCAAATCTGCTTTATTTTTCAGCTTCCATGTCCCCAATCCTTTTCTCAATTTAATGGTAGCTACCTTGGAGGTTTCTGAAACAACAGCTGGGAAGGCACAGCATATTCTGATCTTGGCTTCAAGGTATTTTATCCAGTTGAGAAATGCTGCTAGACCTTCAATGCTTAAATCCTGTTAGTCTCCTCTCTTATATTAGTTAGCTTTTGCTAGAATGTGAAATAGCAAAAAATAACCACCAAATCTTAGTGGTTTTCAAGAAAGGTTTATTTTTCATTCACACTGTCTGCCTTTCTAAGCTAACTGCCCTATGTTCTTTTTATTTTAAAATGAATGAGAAGCCCTTAACTGTCAATTTGGCCTCAGGAGACAGATGGGAAAGAACAATGGACAAACCGCATGCTCATTTAAAAGTGGCAGATATCACTTTGATTTGCCAGAGCAAGTCACATAACCAAACCTGATGTTAAAAGGGCCAGAAAAAAAATTCTCTTAGGTGAGGGGAAGAGAATGACAAAGAATAATCTAGTCTACCTCACTTTTTAGGTTTAAGAGCAGTAGTAGACATCATCCATGCCAAGCTCACAAGTTTTTGGACTTGGTTCCCTTCTATTTCTGCTTGCAAATGTCCCAATTCTTCTAAACTCATCTCTTGGCAAGTAGAGCCAGCCATAGTCTGCTAACATCCTATTTTCCAAAATCTTTTATAATGAACTCTTTAAGCACAAGGTCTGCCTTCCAAGTTATAGCAGGTGACACTTTATCAGATATTTTGCCATTATAGGATTCATTTTTCCAGGCTCTAATACCAGTATCTTAGCTCTTCACAGCCCAATCTATGCCACACACATTAGATTTCTGCTGCAGCAACATTCCATTTCCAGCTCACATGGCCTTATTTTGGCATGTGTTACCATATTCTTGTTGTTGCTGTTCAGTCACTAAGTAGTGTCTGATTCTTTGTGACCCCTTGAACATCATATTTTAAAACACTGGTAATCAGTTTCATTATCATAATCACCTGGGGAGTTTTCTGAACTACATACCACAGATTCCAATATGTTCTTGGGGGTGAGAGGACCAAGGCCTGGGTTTTATTTCTGCTGCTGTTTTCTTTTTTAAAGTTTATTGGATATGGAATCATTTTCTCCAGAATGGACTTAAATTTACAGGAGAGAAAAAATAGGATGCTTGCGTATCATTTTTTGAGGCAAAATGTGACACAAATTAGATGGCTCACATCAGGTTCATCAGTACATTTTTGTTTCTTGTAGAGAAATCTGTTGGAGATTTGGAAGCCCAATTATAATCAGAAGGTTGAGCAGAAGGCTTGGAGTGTGCAAAAGGTGATAATTATTTTAAAAGCTGTTGTCATCAGTAATGACAGCTGCTGCTGCTGCTGCTGCTGCTGCTGCTGCTGCTGCTGCTGCTGCTGCTGCTGTCGCTTCAGTCGTGTCCAACTCTGCGACCACATAGACGGCAGCCCACCAGGCTCCCCCATCCCTGGGATTCTCCAGGCAAGAACACTGGAGTGGGTTGCCATTTCCTTCTCTAATGCATGAAAGTGAAAAGTGAAAGTGAAGTCGCTCAGTCCTGTCTGACTCTTTGCGACCCCATGGACTGCAGCCCACCAGGCTCTTCCGTCCATGGGATTTACCAGGCGAGAGTACTGGAGTGGGGTGCCATTGCCTTCTCCGTGTAATGACAGCATATATCTACAATAAAGAGATATATCTGCTAAAAGGTCTTAAACACTTCTTGCTCTAGATACTTCTCCCTAACAGTGCTCAAAGAAACTGCTAGTTTTTGATGAAGGAGCCTGGGGTACTGGAAAATTCACAGCAAGTTATATACTCTAAGTGGGTAAACTATATGGTATATGAAGGGCTTCCCAGGTGGCCCTAGTGGTAAAGAACCCACCTGCCAATGCAAGAGACGTAAGAGATGCGGATTCAATCCCTGGAGAAGGGCATGGCAACTCACTCCAGTATTCTTGCCTGGAGAATCCCATGGACAGAATAGCCTCGTGGGCCAAGTCCATCAGTTAAGTCACTCAGTCGTGTCCAACTCTTTGTAACCCCATGGACTGCAGTACACCAGGCTTCCCTGTCCATCATGAACTCCTGTAGCTTGCTCAAACTCATGTCCATTGAATTGGTGATGCCATCCAACCACCTCATCCTCTGTCTCACCCTTTGACTCTCTGTGACAATCCACAGGGTCACAAAGAGTTGGACACAACTGAAGTGACTTAGTACACACATATGGTATATGAATCATATCCTAATAAAGCTTTGACATGCCAAGGGTTTTTTCTTTGTATATGCAAAAATTTATACTCTTTATGACACTGCAAGGATTCTTTTCTTACAAAAATCTTACATGGAAGCACAGCTGTATCTGGGGAATAAATGGTCTTAGATTTTCAACAACAAGGATAAACCTTACGGGCATTATGCTAAGTGAGGTAATTGAGACAGAGAAAGACAAATACTGTATGATCATCACTTAAATAGAATCTAAAAAGTCTGAATTTGTAAAAAGAGAAAGTAGAAAGGTGACTACCAGGGGATGGAAGATGGGGAAACTGGGAAGATATTAAGGCAGAAACTTGCGACTAGTAGCTCAATAAGTTCTGGAGGCTTAATGCACAATACAGTGATTATCATCAACAGTATCATAAATTTCAGAGTTGCTAAGAGACTAGCTCTTAATTATTCTCAACACAAAAAAGTGATAATTATGTGACATGAAAAAGGTGTTAGCTAACACTACTGTAGTAATCCTAGTGTGATACATAAATGCACCTAACCAACAAGCTGTACACCTCAAACTTATACAATATTACATGTCAATTATGTATCAACATAAATAAAAGTAAAGCGCCCCAGTCCATGAAATCATTCTTTGAAGGAGTAGTTTCACAAACTAGTTTTGCAGAAAGATGTCAAAAAGGTGTACCTAGAAAGTTTATGGTAAAATATAAGTTTCAACTGATTTTCACTTCTTCCTACTAATTCTCACCTGAAATATGTCAACCATACCAAAAAGAAAAAACCACCAACCAAACCAGCCACAAGATTAGTCACTCAAAGTGTGGCCCATAGACCAACAGCATCAATATCATCTGAAACTTTATCAGAAATGCAAATGTTCTGTCTCCACAACAGATCAAGTGAATCAGAACCGCTGGGAGTGGAGTTGAAGAATCTATTTTAACAACCTCTCCAGTGCTGCCAACGTATGCCCAGGTCTGAGAATCACTGCACCACACTACCCAAGACTGGAGAAAATGTTAACCATACTATCTCTTTTTTTCCTTAGTCAAATCAGCAGAATTGAGACATTATCTTCATTTCCCACCCAGACTCTAAAGCCTGTGAATAAAGTCCTTAAAAAGATATTTATTAGAAAAATATACCATTTTAACTTAACAGAACAATCCAGCAATTTCTCAAAGTTCATTATAATAGAGTTTTACTTGCATCTCCTATTTCAAAAAAAGACCTACTCCATGACAAAATTTATTAAAATACACTTTCCAGCCATTCTGAAACAATTTTTAGCTTACCTTGTACTGATCATTAGGACCTAGTTTGTTCCAGGGTTCTGGGTTATTCTTTCTGTCCCAACTAGAAGAAATATATAAAACATTATAATTACTAAAGTTACAAAATACTATTTAGAATAGTTTTACATTCAAGAAGCTATCATTTTGAACAGATCAAATTCCACTTCCTATCAGATGAAGTAGTGTTATTTTCATTATAGAGCTGAAATAGAGATAAGACCCCTAATAAGCAAACCCATGTAACAAGTTAGTAAAAGGTACAACAGAGAGAGCCCCATGGGGCAGTTATCCCTGTTCCTAACCCTGTCACAGAAAACTTTATTTTTAAAAAAAGCATTCCCTATTGTAAAAAAACAGCCCCCAAAAACACTCAAACATACTCACAACCCTGACCAAGTGTTTTACAAAGACTATTATCTCAATCCTCAATACATTACAAAATGGGTACTGGCAGTTCTACTCAACCAATGAGGAAATGCAACTCAGAAATTTAGATAATTTCATGAACCAGAAAAAGAAAACAACAGTAGAACTGGGATCTGAACTTAACTCTAGGACAGCACATTTCAGCTTCTTTCTACTACTTGACGTTGCCTCTCTAGAAAGACTGAGGCTCCTAAACCAGTTTGGTAAACCATCAAAGTTCTAAACATTTTTGAACACTTACCTGACATCGGGATTGAACAATGCCAGGCGTGTGACATACAGTGCTGCTCCAGTCCCTCCTGCTCCAATAAATATAAAGAGGGGGATCAACTGGAAGCCAAAACAAAACAGAATTAACAGTCGTCTTCAAATACCTACATACTGATAAAAGTAAACAAAGACTACAGTAGTTTCTACACACTGATTCCCAAATCTCTAACCATCTTCTTTTTAACTTTAACACCTTTATTGGGATTTACATGCCTTAAAATTCATTAACTTCAACAACCAACGATTTCCAGTAAATGTATAAAGCTGTGCAACCATCCCACAATACAATTTTAGAACATTCCCATCACCCCAAGAATCTCTCTCAGGGTCACTGCTGCCACACGCATCCACACCTTCAGCCCCAGGCAACCACTAATCTGCGTTCTAACTCTAGATTTACTTTCTCCTCAAACCACCTTTTTAATCTGCTCTTAAAAGTTTGAAAAAAAAGGACTTCATTTTTAAAGATTTTAACTATCTTCAATAGTTTTTTTAAAAAGGAATTTCTAGAATTTCTAAAGGATATGAAGATAATTCTGATTTAACGTGGAAAACGTTATACTGAAATTTTAAATCTTCTAGGAAAATACATCATCTTTTTTACCTAATAGTAAATTAAATTCCAGCTTCTCACATGTCAAGGCTCGAAACACAAGCTCTTGGCAAGTTATTTAAGCTTGCTTCTACACAGACGTTATGAAAAACAAAAATTCTGTTAAATAAAGTCTGAATGAGCATACAGAAACACACCTACTATAAATACCGCTATTACACATAATCTCTGGACACGTACTAATAGCACAATTAATGCAATTAGGCAATCAGATTTAAAAACACAAAGATTGCGTAATTGAGTTTTAGGACCACCGAACGTTGATGTGCAAGGGGAAAACACGTGAAATATAAAAGAACTCAAACGCAATTAAACTCCGCACTCCTAAAGTATCACAAAATATCAAGACGTCAAGAGAAACTGATTCCAAACTCAGAGACCCTCACATTTTCCTTAAGGCCTAATGGTGCAATGCAGTGAAAACAAGGCTTTTAACAGCACAACAAACAGTATACCTGACCTTTTCTGCTATCTAACCCACACAGCGCACGACTATCCCTCCTGGCACCACCGACCTGCAAAAGGACGCCCGCCCACCACACTGTTACAACATTCTCTTTTGCCCGAGAGTATCCCTCACCTCCCCCATACCAGGCCAAACGCCACAATGCAAGGCCTGCAAGGTCACAACTCAAGGTCCCGGGGCAACTAGAAGAACAGGACAGAGGCAAGGTCCAGCCCCGAGGAACCGTAAGAGGCCGAAGGAGGAAGCTCCCAGGGGACAGACGCAGCCGCCTCGTCCCACCGGATAGACAAGGGAAGACACTGGGAGAGGGTTTAAGAACTCACGCTAGGGTGCCTCTTGGCCTGACCGATGATCTGGCGGAGCATGGTTGCGACAGAGGCCTCGAGCCCAAACCGAGAGAAAAACTAAGCCGCAAGGCCGGAGATTAAACACTCACGGCACCTGTGAGGAGCGGACGTCCAAAGTCACTCAGGACCTCCTACCTGAAGGACCCCTGGCTCAGAGGGCGGCCTGCGGCAGGAGGGCCCGGATGCAGCTGTCCCGGATAATGCCTGTTTGACTCAGCACTTCTGGCGTCTGCTCTAATCTGGCCAAATCAACAGCGTTCGACTGCAAAGCAAAACAGTCTCATTACTATGCCTTGCATACTTTCAATGGGTAATTTTTTGCGTCAAAACTAGAAACCCACGATTGACTACACGGGCACTTTCTCGGGAGGCCCCGAGTTTGAAGAGGGGGGGCGGGCAGGCGGACGCACGCGCCTTGAGCTCAGCGAGCCGGGTCCTTTAGCTAGGCGTCCACGAGCCTGGTCCGCGCGCCGAGACGCTGGGGACGCGCGTGCCGGCTGCGCGCCGGCCGCCCGGACAGCCGCTCGGGGAGCTGCGCGGCGCCTCTGGCTGCTGAGCGCCGGCCGCCTGGAGGGCAGGTCGAGTCTCTAGCCGCTGAGGTCAGCGACTGCGGTTTAAAACTACTGCAGCTGCTTCCTGTCCTTGACTGTGATTGAGGGGCAGAAGTTAGAAACTAGTAAATGACTTAAAGATGGTGGTAGTCTTGTCAGTGTGATCTGGAAACAGTTCCTGGTCGTCGCTTCCAGGTCAGGGCTTTCCTGGTGGCTCAGACCTGGTAAAGAATCTGCCTCCAATGCGGAAGATCCCTGGAGCAGGAAATGGCAACCCACTCCAGTATTCTTGCCTGGAGATTCCTAGGGACAGAGGAGCTTGACTACAAAGGTGCTACAAAGACCTTTGCAACAATGCCACTCTCTCCTCTGCCTGGGTTTGAAACTGCATTCTAAAAATATGTTTCTATTGGTCTTGTCACTACACATAATCTTTTCCGGTATCCCCAAACTGGAACTATCATTTACCTGTTTTTTCTTTTTTTAACCCAAAAGTCTTCCCAGGCATTCGAAGACACTCTGAACCCCAACCTCATATGTAACTTAAAGCATTAATCAAATGATCACACCAGTAATTGGACCTGGAAAGAAAGTCTCCTCCAAAAAAGTAATGGGAGACCTGAAGGAGAAGACGTTAACCAAACGAAATGGAGGGAGGTGATGTATAGACAGAGGTAATAGTTGTGACTGTATGAAACTAAAGAGACTTTTTAAGAAGGGAGGTCTGGTTTGGTTGGAACTTGAACAGTAGAGGGAGCGGGGAGGGTGGAGGGGGGATCAGATCTGTTGAGCCAATTTACACAGCATGGGTTTTATGCTGAGAGCATTAGAGAGTTAGGCAAAAGCAAGATGTGGCTTTAAGTGATTGCTTTGTCTATGAAAAATTAAATTACTGGAGATAAACATGAAAGAGGAGGGAATGGTTAAACGGCCACTGCAATAGTCCATGTTAGATAATGGTAGCTTCCACTAGTGTAGGAAATGTGATGATGAAGAAAAGATTGCAGAGATATTTAGGAGGTAGCACCAAGACTTTGTGATTGATCAAACATAGGAGTGGGAAGAGGAGGGAGTCCAGGATAGTTTCAGAGGTTCCATTCTTACTCTGTGGATTTTGATGCCAATTATTGAGATTAAGAGAATTGGACCATAAAGAAGGCTGAGCTCTGGAGAAGTGATGCTTTCGAATGGTGGTGCTGGAGAAGAGGTGGTGATTATTAAAATGACATGACGCTTATGAAGACTGGTATCTTTTTCATTTATTCAGTAAATCTTTGTTAAGTACCTACTCTGCATCTGGCACTGTTTTAACTATGACAGCGAAAGAAAAACTTGTTCCTCACTAATGGAGTTTATATACTGGTTGGAAGACAAACAGGAGGAAGGCGGGGCAGGGCACAGCCTTAAAAGAATGGCATAGCCTGAAGACATGACATAAACTGATTAGAATCAAATAGGTCCAAGATGGCAGACTAGTGGACTTCTGGTAGATTTTGAGCCTCAGTATACGCTGGTTGTAACACATCAGCAAGCTAAAAGGCACACCCACAGACACCAAGATGGTTCAAAGGCTGACAATAAAATACCAAAAAATGAGCAGTAGCCGAATTCCTGGAATTCTCCATCCTTTTCCTAAAATAGTTGAAGTAATCGTCCCATTCAAACCCGTGAAATGACTCAGTCTGTAGAAACTAACCACATCACATTTTGCCGCTGCTCTTGCCTTCTGAGATGCCCCACACTCTGTCTATGGAGTGTGTTTCTCTCTAAATAAATTCACCTCTTTTCACTTTGTCTCTCATTGAATTCTTTCTGTGATGAAATATCAAGAACCTGAGCTTCATCTGAGTCATTGCAGATGATGACTGCTGCCATGAAATTAAAAGACGCTGACTCCATGGAAGAAAAGTTATGACCAACCTAGACAACATATTAAAAAGCAGAGACATTACTTTGCCAACAAAGGTCCAGGCTATGGTTTTTCAGGTAGTCATGTATGGATGTGAGAGTTGGACTATAAATAAAGCTGAGCACAGAAGAATTGATGCTTTTGAACTGTAGTGTTAGAGAAGACTCTTGAGAGTCCCTTAGACTGCAAGGAGATCCAACCAGTCCATCCTGAAGGAGATCAGTCCTGGGTGTTCATTGGAAGGACTGATGTTGAAGCTGAAACTCCAGTACTTTGGCCACCTGATGCGAAGAGCTGACTCATTTGAAAAGACCCTGATGCTGGGAAAGATTGAAGGTGGGAGGAGAAGGGGACGACAGAGGATGAGATGGTCGGATGGCATCACTGACTCAACAGGCATGAGTTTGAGTAAACTCCGGGAGTTGATGATGGACAGGGAGGCCTGGCATGCTGCAGTCCATGGAGTTGCAGAATCAGACACAACTGATTGACTGAATTGACTGACTGACTGAGCTTCATTAGGTCCTAAAAACAGGTGTGTGATCTCAGTTGGAAGCTGTGGGTCTTGGCCAAGTTCAGTTCTTGGCACATGGGTTCAAATCCCAATCTGAGGTGAATGGTTTCAAAACCATAAACAAGCAAGATAATCTCAGAGACTTCTTGTAGTAACTCAGTTGTGTCTGACTATTACCCTATGGACTGTAGCCTGCCAGGCTCCTCTATCCATGAGATTTCCTAGGTAAGAATACTAGAGTGGGTAGCCGTTCCCTTCTCTGGGTCGGGGGGGGGGGGGTGGGAATCTTCCTGACCCAAGGATTGAACCCGCATCTCCTGAGTTTCCTGCATTGCAGGTGGATTCTTTACCATCTAAGCCACCAGGGAAGCACATTTTAGAGACTAGTAAACAAACAACAAAAAAAAAAAGAATAATGAGATAGAGAAGGACATGGAGGTGTGAAGGAAAGAAGTTTATTTTAGTAAAAGTGAATGTGGAAGATTCCTTTGAGGAGGTAATATTTGAGCTGAAACCTAAATGAAAAGAAGGTAACCTGCTGAAGATCTGGGAGAAAAACATTCTGATTGTATAGTTTTGAGGTTTAAAAAAATAATAAAATGCTCAAGGGAGGCCAGAATGGCTGACCCATTAAAAAATTAGATCAGAGAGGTTATAAAGGTGTCTCCGACATGTACTTTATAAACTATGGTAAGTAGTATCATTATGTTAAAAGAAAAGATCAGCACAAAAATCATGGAAGGTACTTAGATGTGAACACAGAAGCCCAAGATTAGTAAGTGTAGGTAGTAGGCTTTCAGTAAAGAAATTAGAAGGGGAAGATCTGTCCTCGCAATATTTTATTTTTAATGATAACAATTGGTAATAAGTAAGTAGGTGTACAGGAATGCCATTACTAATAAGAAAGTAAAATCCAGTGACTCTTTTTTCAATGATTTAGTTTCTAGAAGTGACAATAATACAGGTAGTCAAGTGATGCCTTTGGAATCATTAACAAAGCAGGGTTGTGCTGTGGTTAGTCTCTTAGTCCTGTCCAACTCTTTGCTTCCCCATGGACTGTAACTCACTAGGCACTCTGTCTATGGGGATTCTCCAGGCAAGAATACTGGAGTAGCTTGCCATCTCCTCCTCCAGGGGATCTTCCCAACCCAGGATTGAGTCCACAGAATTGCAAACAGATTCTGTATTAACTGAGCCCCCAAGGAAGCCCAAGAATACTGGTGTGGGTAGCCTATCCCTTCTTCAGGGGAATCTCCCTGACCCAGCAATTGAACTGAGGTCTCCTGCGTTGCAGGCAGATTCTTTACTAACTGAGATACCAGGGAAGTTAAATTTCATTTTCAAAAGTGGTTTGTTTTTTTTTTTTTTTTTTTGCAAGGGGTCGGGGGCATTTGGCTTGGGAGATAATAGTTTCCTGGCCAGGGGTTGAACCCAGACACCTGGCAATGGAAGCATGGAGTCCTAAACAATGGAACACCAGAGAATTTTCTAAATTCCATTAAATATTAACCAAAATGTCAAATTGTAAAAGTCTACATTTTTCACAATAAAGTTAGAGGAAAGAGTCAGTGACCAATATTTAAGCAGAGATGGGAAGATTAAAGATGACAGTCTGGAAAAAGAAGCCATAGTAGAATATACATGATGTAAAAACATCTGCAGCTATAGAAGTAAGATTGGTATGTGTGGCAGATTATACAATGTACAAATTCTTGCTGCTTCTCCCTGGAAAGGGTATCACCTACTTGCCTCACTAATGTCAGGCTTGATAAGATGACTTGCATTATTTGCCAATGAGATGTGACAAGTAGTATTTGTCATACACAGGCAGAAGCTTTAAGAGCTAGCTTGTGCTATGTCCTGTCTTTTCATTCTGCCACAAGATCAGCAGTGTTGTCGACAGAGCCTTTCCTGTCATGCTGAAAACTACCTGGAGCAGATATGTTGCTGAGCTATGGTGGACATGCATTGAAAATAAAAAGGAAACAAGTCATCAGGTTTGAGAGTAGCTTGTTACTGTAGCATAACCTAGCCTACTGAGACT